GTAAATTTTAACGATATCGAAACCTTACTTGCCAACGGAATAATAAATTCGTTTTCCCAAAACAATGAGATCTTCGTTCATGGCTATCATATCTTGTGTGTTGGGCATGGACCTCATAATTGACAAATTATGAAATCATCGCTGAGCTCGGCCCGACAGAGTTAAAAGCCCAGCGTACTTTCCAAGAAAATTATATATAAATGTACTTCCTCATTCTAGTATAAAAGGGGAACCCCTCTTCTTGAGTTGTCTCATCACTTTTCCTCTGTTGCAGTAGTACAAGGGACTAGAGAACTAACTGTTATCTGGACTCTAACTAATCTAAGAGAAAATAAATTATGTTCGTACATTCCGCCGGAATCGTACGAGAATTTATCAGAGAAAGTGATTTTTATACGCGCTTATCATCGATATCGGAATACTTATCACTCAGGCCCGACCTCAAAATACGTATCAATCAGCCCCGACCTTAGGATATTCGCTTACTACCCAGTTCCCGACCTCAGGAGCTCGTTACTCAGTCAGTTCGTTTATACAAAGTTCGTCAGTCTACTAAGCTTCCGAATTCAACATCCTTTACTTTTCTTGTTCCGTTATCCTACTTGTAATCCATTTCCGAGCATAATATCAATAAATGAGGATTTCCGAACCCTTTTACTGTTTAATAAACATACTACCGAACTCGAGTATCAACAATTGGTGGGCTATACAGGTCTCTGAAATTCTCCAACGAACGATTTCACTTCGGAAATGGAGGACAACCAGCCCGAACACAGCACGGCCAACTAGGAGACGGATACAAGGAATCACGACCCTCAGACAGCGCCCGCAATCATCGAAAACATCACTGACCAAGAAGTCCAAGCCGTTATTAACACTGAGCCCGCCGGGCAAGAAGTCGTACCCACCCAACAAGCTCAGGATCAAATGACAGCTATGATGGAGGTCGTCATGCAACGATTCGACCGACAGGAAGAACAAGCCCGCGACACCAACTCGAGGTTGGAACTTCTCTCGCTACGGCTCAAGCAAACTACCGAGCACAACTGGATCATTTGAACCCGAGATCCGCTCACGATTCACCCCGGACTCGAAGGAGCTCGTCGCCAACCCCCGAACGGTAGGCGTGAGTGGAGGTGACCAGAAGATTAGCCAACCTCACCATCCGGGCACCTACTGAACACCCGAGCATCTCAAGGGCAGCTCGACCGACCTCCCAACATTGTGACTCGATCTCGCATGAAAAACGCCGCATGTTGACGCAGGATCGGGACCCCGAAATCGAGCGAATGCAAGCCCGGCTCAAAGA